AAAGAAGTTCTTTCAATTTCTGTATATTTATATTTGCATATAGGCTAACTTAAAAATGTATGTTTTTGGAACTTATTCCAATTGTTAATTTTTTTTTTTTTTGTTTTTTTTTTTTACAGTTTTAGCAATTCTTACTTTGTAATAGGGATGTCCTGTCTAGCTTACAATTATAACACAGTATTGTGTTATCGTTCATATTTTGGAGGATGTCATTATAGCATTATATGTTACGTTATATTTTTTTCTAATGGTCCGTTATAAAATTATAAATATCTTCATCGTAAATATTTAAACATTAAGGCCTGTTGTATAAAAATATTACAAATCCAAATGTGTTTGATTTTCACAGTGTTGCATCGCTTTCCAGTTTAGTCTTTCACAAAAGCAGTATTTTTGATTGTTAATAAGTTTGTGTCCCACACTTACCCACATAAAAGTATACTGTGATATACTATCATAGCATCTTAGAATACAATAAAAATAATAAGGTTTATAAATATGGTAAGTAATTATTCACTAGTATTGCCATGACTGCACTGCAGGTAAAGTCATATAGGCCGCCTATACAATAATGTTTTGTGTGTAATGTTTGAACGACACAAGGATCTACGGCAGCATTCCTGAACAATCTGTGTTCCTCTCACTATCAGTCTCTGGAGACCTAGAGAAAACTCCAGCTCCAGGAATAGAAACACATATGCATAGCCTACCCCCAAAACTTCAAAAATAGCACGCACTACAGGAATAGACACATTTCCTCTGTGGCCTTGTTCGCTGGATTCCAGTAACTTTGGCTGTGCATGAAGAATCACGTGGCCATGGCAAATGGTGGAAACCAGGTATCAGGTTTAATCTAATTAGTGCAACATAGTGCAGATGTGGAGTAACTTCTGGATAACTGTCATTCTAATGCTAAAACAGAGTCTAAAATGGCAGAACCTTGAGTGATTTACTGTGTGCTGCACTGCTGCTGGATGTAGCATTGAATAATACATGCTGTGTGAAGACATTTCCCAGCAGTACATTCACATTCCAGCATTTGTCCAATCATATACTAAATCGTTGCATCTTCTACCCATTTCTTCTGAAAGTTAAAGTCTCAGTTATGGGAACCCAGCTTACACATTTCTGAATAAAATGAAACTATAGGTTTTGGAGCTTTCTATGAGGTTGATAAGGTGTTGCTGTCTATCTATCCGTCCGTCTGTCCGTCCATCTATCCATCCATCCGTCGGCCTGTCTGTCTGTCTATCTGAACATTTTGAGTTTAATTCCAACAGCAATATTTAGATTTTCCCCCTACATATTCTCCTTTCCATTTGTTCAGCGCCCATCGCTATACTAAACCACACACCGAAAAAAAATGACAGCATAGTGGTTGGCCCTGACTGTCAGTAATTTTTTATGTTCTTATATTGTTATTAGATCTTTATTAGGACTAGATTTTATCGCAGCGGCGTCTTGATGCAAGTGGTCATGATCATATATATTTTAATCACAATTTATGGTTAGGCTAAAGTTAATCCTCTGGGGTCGACAAACGCGCCAGCGCATTTTGCTGGATTTTTTCACATAGCGGTAAAATATCAATATGAATATATGCCTACTATTGACATTCAACTCGACAAAACTCAACAGATGCCGGTCGCGATGCGGGAGTTAAGACCGCAGTTTGAGCCAGTGGCTTGAGTTGATATGGTCCTGTGTCCACAGACAGGTGAAGGTGGGGGAGAAAAGTCCTCTACATCAAATGACCATTCTGTTGCAAAGCTACTTGCGTCACTCCAGTCACTCTCCATTTTAGAGACTGAAAGCAGCTGTCAATGCGGGTCTCAGGTGCACGGTTCATCCCTTCTATCGCCGCTGGAGTCTACCCATTTTTTTCAGCATTTTTCAAATATTGCCAGTGGGTGGAGTCATGCTCTGACCCGGGGCCTATACCATGAAGCGTGGCTAGCCAGGTATGGTTCAGTTTAGTTTGCACCAACTCTGGATTTTAAGCACCAAAAGTGGTTGAAAGTGGTTTGGCTTTTAGCAGTTTTCATCGCCATAGTAACTGGTGCTAAAACAGCTAACCTGGTCCATGGCAGGTAATGTTCCAGGTAAGAGGTTGCAAACCGAACTTGGATCAATCAGCTGTGAGCAAAGTGTCACAAGTTTGACGCAATAAAGTCACTCCACCTGTTTCTACTCCAAATTAAAGGTCACTACATAGCAAATGATTTTTAAAGACAAAATCATCTGGCTTTTAGTTATGCTTATTTAGAATAATAGATTTCTATGATTTAGTTAATTATTTATGTAATTATTATACCCTTAAACAATCTCACATGTTCAATTTCAGTTCATCAATTATTATTACGCAGATTTTAAATGAATACAGTACATATATATATAGGTAACATAAATACGCTTTAGAATCAATAAATGAAGCTAAAATGACTTATTTTCTTCTTGCTGTGTAAATTTGTTTAAATTCTTAATATTTTAATACTTTTATGTAATAAGTGAATTCACCTTTGGCTAAGCCACGCCCTAGAATGTAGATTGACCAATCACAGCGCAGCAAAGAACGAGCTCCCACAGAGGTCGGACACTTTTTCACCGCGCTCCATTGACTTTCAACACAGGCGTCTCATATTTTTGGTCTCGGCAGGCTATTACCGTCGTAGTTTTATCCAAAATATGGTTAAACGTTGTGCCTCAGGCATTTGTAACACAGATAGCAGCTACGCGTTTCCCAGAGAGGTTGAAGGGGGGTGTCTGTTTTTTTTTTTTTTTCCCTTGCCAAAACCGGTTTAATCTTTGGATTAAACTGTGTGGATGTCCTCAGTCAGCTAAATCAACAAGCACATCTTTTTTACTTCTAACCTTACTGTGAGTGTGAATTTATACTAGTTAGACCGTTTTATAATGTTTTAGGTTATGATTTCGGTTCTCACACCGGTTGTTGATACGCTAGCACACGCTGCTAATAAATACAACGTTACTCGTGTAGTCCGTTTGCTTTGTAATAACTAATATAGAAGTGAATAGAGACCTACCCAGCTTTGCATAAACAGTGTTGCTCCGTGATATTGCAACTCGATCTCGATTAGTAGGAAATGCGGTGGTTCATTTTTTGACTGTGACCGGTAACGTTATGCTTTTGCCTCTATTTTGGATGCCTTGTTGTTTCTTGTGTTTCACCTGTATGTATATAGCCTTCGAACGCATATTGCAGCCCCTTTTGCCTACTTCTATTGAACACTTTATTTGCTGCTTTATAAAAGTTTGATAACATTTCAGCAGGAAGAGCTGTCACAGCATAAGCCATGCAGAGCGCAGATTAAGTTTGACGGATGTAGCAACAGTAACTAAGGGGGGCGGGGCTTAGCCAAAGGTGAATTGCTTGGGGTGGTGATGGCACAGTGGATAAGACACATGCCTTTGGTTTGAGAGACCCAGGTTCGAATCCACTGTGAGACACCAATGTGTCTCTGAGCAAGACACTTAACGCCTAGTGCTCCAGAGACGTGCAACCTCTGACATGTATAGCAATTGTAAGTCGCTTTGGATAAAAGCGTCAGCTAAATTTAAATGTAAATGTAATTGCGCTGCTTCTCTCGCGAGGAATTAATTCCAATACGTTTTTAATGATTTTCACTCTTTCTCAGCATGTGATTCATGGCTTTTCACTACTGATGTCACACCACCTAAACTCACGATCAAAGCCTGAGTTGACAGAGAAAGTTGATGATCAGCATTATGGTACCAACAAAGCTTGGTTGGACTGGTTTGGTTTTGTCAACTCAACTAATCCCGCAACCCTGAGTTTGTTCAACTACCATCATGGTACAGGCCCCAGGAGTTTAGTTACCCTTTGAAAAATCAGATGATGGGAGATTCAATTATTTTGAAGCAAAGCATCATAAATGCTTATATGAAGCATATTATCCAATAACTATTAAATGCATGTTGTTTTCCAAAATGCCTCAAAGCTCAGTCACAGAGAGTTAAGCATGGGGGCTCTGAGAACTAATTTTGCAAGATCTGTCCATTACAGCAACCTGACCACCCACAGTTGGGCCGTCCTGTGACTCACAACACCAACACCTGACTGCTCAATACTCTAGATCAATGTTTCTGAACAATGTTCCTGTATTGGAACTAACATTGCATCTTTTCTACTGATCATTAAGGATGAATTGTCTGTGTAAAGCAGCAGGAACTATCAACAGCTTTTTTTTTTTTTTTTCTTTTTTTTTTTTTAGTGGGGTCTACAGAGCCCTGAGCATCCATCTGAAATAGCTGGAGTGTCTGTATAAAGATTTTGATCAATGCTGTGGACAAAAAATCTCAGCCACACCATAGTAAAATGAAATAACCGCTCACTTGTTCAGTGGATTGCTTTTCGGGAGTGTTTTCTCTGTAGAAAAAAAAAAACATCTACATTTAAGAGTTTTAAACTGTAAACCAAACCAATGTGAATCATAACATTATTACATTTGATTCCAAGCAAAAATGCCCTATAAATAGGGGAAAAAAATATATCCGGGATCAATTGTCTTGGTCAACTAGCTTTAGAGTGCTTTTTGTTTCAGTGAGCAAACAGCCACTAACCGGAATAAGACCAGCAGGAAATTCATGCTAATTAATTTTTATTAAAATGATATTACAAATTACTTGATGCTCGATGCATCCTGACACCCACAGTATGTATTTGAATCAGGATCTGGTCACTGAGTGGGTGTGACATTTTTTTTTTTTCGGTTCGGTAAGTTCCTAAACAAAGTGCATCCCTTGGGGACTAGCTTCTTGTTTTAAAAACTACAAATCCATAGTGAATTGTAACACACCGATCACAGGTTGACTGTGGTGGAATGTATTAAAATGAAAAATATTAGTACATGTGTGTGTGAGATGGGTTTGTGTTGTGCTTGAGATGTCAGCGGGGGTGTTGTCCCCCCTCCATGCTGTTCTGCATTGGGAGAACCAGGGACGGAAAGGCTGAGGTGATTCACACATGAGTCAACAACTATCAGCTATATAAGCCTGACCACTCATGGAGCCTGGGCATCATACAATCCTCACATCTCAAAGGTAAGTCCCCTTCTCTCTCTCTCTCTCTCTCTCTACTCATCACTACTCTCACACTATCTGCAGCTCTGACACTCCACTGAGCATTCTCACTATGTGATTTTTATTTTTTTTTAAATCTAACGTATTTTTAGTGATTGATATTATGGAGAAACTAAGTTTAATATTCCACACAGGGAAAAAAAAAAAAAAAAAAGATTAGAGTGCTTTTGGAATGAAGCGATTATTGTTTATGCAAGGGCAGCCTGTTCTTTAGGGAATTTTCTAGTTATTGAAATCCAAATGTAGGCACAGAGGATGTTGTTTTGTTCATTTAGAATTAAGATTGAACATAGAAGAGTGCTTAACTGCCTAATGTTGCAGACTGAAGAGGCCTGTAGTTCACTAACATGCTGAAGACTGCAGGCACCACCACATTAGAGTTCCCTTAGAAGTATTTTCACGTGCAAGGAACCCATTTTTTTCCAGGGTTTTTTTTGTATTTTTATTGGAAAAAACTGTTCTTAATTTGAATTATGATTGTGACTTAAAAGAATCTGATATCAGCGATTAAATGGCATTTACATCAAGCCTGGATTGCAAAATTGTGCAATGACTAGACACAGCTTTAAAGCTTTACAATTTTTATAAAGAAAATACACTTTGTTAATTGAATTCACTATAACTAATTTCTTAATGCAACGTAAATATGGAAGAACAAAGCATTTTGGCAGTTAATTGCAGAAATAGTCTAAATAACACCTTCTTTATATAGGGGCTAGTTATACTCAGGAAATCCATGTTATATAGGATAAATGTATCATGGTTTACATAAAAATATTTTAAGAGATAAGAGATTCAGCTTTGCGTAAAATGTATTCCTGATCAAATAAATGCAGCTTAGGTGAGCATAGGCTATTTAAACAATTATATTTAAAAGATTTTAGAAGACATTCAGAATAATGTATGTTTTATTTCAGCAGGTCTTGCACAACTGTCAAAAAAGGACTCCACAAACACAGGAAGCATGTATTTTCCAGCTCTTCTCTACACCTGCATTTCAAGCATGCTCTTTCTGATTGATGGCATTCCCATTCATCCTCCGGACAGCCTCAAAAACGTCATGCAGGTCAGACTGCAAGCAGACACTATCATCCACAGAATTAAGGAACACAATGAGAAGGTAATGGGTTATAACTCAGTGAACTTGCTGCATGGCTTCTGTTCTGTTAAAGGTTAACAGGTGAAACTCATTAAGATCTGGTGTTGTTAAGATCATGTTCATTTGTCTTCTCTTACAGCTACGACTGCATCCAAATCTCCACATTGGGAATTCAGAGCTTGATGTTCTTGCTGAAAAACCTATCCGAGGGCTTGGGTCCATCGTGGACACCCTAACTACCATCCAGAAGGTTCTTCAAAAGCTGCCCAAGGGGCATGTGAGCCAGTTACACATTTCTGTGTCCAACCTTTTGGGTTACTTTAATGAAAGGATGACATTTATGCATTGCACACCCAAGGAACCAGCAAATGGGAGGTCACTGGATGCTTTCTTAGAGGAAAACGCCAACCACCACATTACTCTTGGGTACAGCACTTTAGACATACTGAAAAAGTTCCTTCAAAAGCTGATAGATAACCTGGACCAGTTGAAGAACTGCTAATCTGCCACTATTATAGCATTATAGTACACTATTTATTATATTTATTTAAAACCCTGTATATTTATAGACCAAAGCAGCATGTGGCACAATTTAATGTACAGATTTAAAAAATTATGCCCTGCTTTAACATGGAAAGCTAGAAACATTGCTTGCGACATCATGATGCGCCAAGCAATCTGTCCTTACGACGTAAACAAACATTAGCAATCTGATACCTGCACAGTGCACACATTGTCATGTCATGCTTCGTGCCGTTTGCAGGATGACATCAGCACTTGCTGAGCTTGCTCAATGATGTCACTGTTTACCAGAAACGAGGTCAGACTCTGCTGGGAAGCTGGAATTATATTCCCATGTCTTGCTGCAACACCAGCAATGTAGGACACATGTCAAAATAAAATAAATTGTCCTACAAAGTATAAATCTATGCACTTTTGATATCTTGTGATTGTAATAGTTTTCTATTTTGTGTAATAATGCAATTTTCCAATAAAAGTTTTTTACCATTAAAATAAATTAATTGTATACTATTATTTTAACTATATGCCACTGCAGCTTGCATATGTCTATTGTGTTATTACATTTTAAATGTGCTTTTACTTAAATGGGACGGCTCATGTAGTAATTTATTTTATTGGTCCTGTTTTACAATGAATCCCAAAATGGAAAATTCAGCATTGGAATGGTTTTTCTGTCCACAACAGGCTTTTTTTGATCATACAAAATATGAATGCCTGCATGTTCATTTAAATCAACATATAACTACCCATTTTCAAATATCATATCAATTTGCCTAGCCCCCATTTTGTCAAAAATCTGTATCTTTGTTTGTTCAATGGAAAACTTAAATAATGCATCAAATATGAATAAGAGTTCCAATTTAGCAATTTTGTGCACATCTCATTTGGTGCATCAAATAGCAATCGTGTGCAAATCTCATTTGGTGAGATCATATTGGCCACTAGAAAACCTGACCAAAACATTTTAGTCATTAAATAAACCAAAATTCTGGTTTCATTTAATTTTATACAGGATTAAAAACCACAAGCAAGTCAATTATTTTCCAGGCAGTCAACAAGGGTGCATTACATATTTTAACAAGGGACAACAATTCCTTCTGGCATTTAGATCAAATACACGTTGTTTACAAAGTTTGAGGAGAGCAGTTAAATAATGACAGCTAAACTAAGTGTTGTCAAAGTCCATATTGACAACAGCTATATCTTTGTAATGTTTAAAAAACTCTGTGCCGAAAAAAGCACGAAACATGAAACTTGGCATGGAAGTCTCTTAATAACATTTAGTTCAAGAGACGTCCAAACTAATGAGCAACAAACATAGTCTGTTAAATGTTAGAACCATCTCTGAATTATTTGATTTCTTAAGAAGAAATAGTCTTCTGAAGCAACCAAATGTCATGTTGAAAACCTTTTTTTAAAAACTCAGACTCAAAGTATTAAATTTAGTCCCCCTCTGAGCAGTTTTCGACATTTTTTTCCATGTTCAGCTGAACCATTTGCCCTTCTTGACTAAAGTCTTAGTGTTTGATTTGCCCATCAGTTTCTTTTTGTACTGGTCCACCAAACTGTCAAAGCGAGCATCCTCTCTGCTCTGGAACTTTCTTTTTGCAGGTTTGCCATTCTGAAACAGAATAAATAGACATAAGAATTGTTATAAAAAAAAAAGGGACGGATAACGTAATGAGACGACCTGGTGGTATTTAAACCAAAAAATATGTCTAAATGTTTAGTACTGATTATTTATCAGGGGTTTTCCCAGGGTCAAAAATGTTCTTTGGTAGTGGTGGCTGACAGAAATGGTCATCCACACAGAGACAATAAAAAGTTCCCTGACCTGCGAGCCCAATACCGAAAATAAATCCAAAGAAACCAAAGAAAACCAAACCAAAAATCCAAATCCAAAGTTTGTGATTTTTGTTCATCTTAGGCCCTGTTTACACGAGAACGCTCGAGGGTGAAAAGTAAAAATATTTTATCGGATTTTATTCTCTTCGGTTTGTAAAGCGGAATATTTTTTCCAGACAAAAAAAAAAAAAAAAAGTACATAACTCTTTCGTCTCAGGGGGATATGAGGGTGGAAAGCATCGAAAATACTACAGGTTTTCTACTAATAGAAAGCTCAATGCTAAATCCTGAAGAATCCCTTTAAGGCTTATAATCCTTACTTGGCACTTTTTCTAAATTTTTCATTCTCATTTCAGAGGTGTTTTGAGTAAATGATTATACCAATTCGTGAGTTCAGTATTGGACAGATCAGTTGTTTTAACCAGTCATTAAAATTAATCTATTCAAATGAATCATTAGGAGGCGTAACCCGGCTGTTTAGACAACGCGAGAGATTGTCTCAACACAGAAAACGCTTCATTACAAGATGATGAATAATTTTTTTGCTTATTGAACGTGTGGTTTGTCAGCTGTATGTTCGGAACGTTTGTCAGAGAAGAGGCTATTTCACACCCAGTGGTAATTCAGGGAGGGAAACAAAATCTCCTAATGTGCCACGTTCAACATGGTTTCGGTCGTCCGACCTTTTACCATTGTGTCAGTTATGTTGATTTTGATCGCCGTAATATGTGTGAGGCAGAGAGAGTAAAGACAGTGCTGCTTAGTTTGATGACAGAGGGCCAGATGTACTAAAGCTTTTGCGCCCACTTCAGGTGTATTAGTTTCACAAAGTGCGCATAAAACCATGGCGAGGTATGTACGAACAGGACGCACCGAGATGAAAGCGCAGACTGCCTGTCGCAGGAACTGAAAAGAGCAAAATGCATTTTTCGTGTCATGCATATGCATTCATGGGATGGTCAAGGGGAAAGAGGGAGTGTCACATAAAGAGATGGGAGGGGAAGCATAAACTGCTAGCCTGACTTCGTCATACTCATATTCAAGAGAGAATATGAGTCTGAAACTCCTCCGTTGGGCTTTGATTATGAGGCGTGTCGTAACCGAACCAGGGAAAAAAAACAAACTCAATTGGATAGTCGGTAGACCTACAACAAATCAGAGCAACGCAGTAAGTCAACTCCTTTGCATAGCGCAGTTTTCAACTACAGAACTTACTTATTTTAGAAGTTAAATAACGAGTGTTGCTTCTTTTACTTACTTCTCCATGAGTGCCACCAAAGGAGAAACCACAACGACCACAGGCTTTTCATTACGTCCCATCTTCTTAACGACCGTCAGAGCCAGCTGATAAGTTACATTTTTCCCGAATCATGTAGGAAGGACGCCAAAAATATCTTTCCGATCGACAAATGCCCTGATTGCAGTTCTCTGTTTGTCTATTAAAATGAATGCGCTGTCGTTTTATTTTACAAAAGACGCGACAGCGGAATCTATTCATCTCAATTCTCCATTTGCAGTCATCTCTGACAAGCACTTTTTGATAACGTGATGATGATTACGTCCCTGCAGATCATCTGTCCATCATCGTATAAAGCCCGCCCTGGCAATTTGATTGGCCCGATCATTTTTTGACTGATCATAATTACTCCTCAATCGATCGAGTCCAGACCGAACTTCCCGACCAAAAAATGTTGTGGGCAGAGTTCGGGCTGGCATCCAGGCTAATAAACTGCACCTAATTATGTATTCCGCATTATGTACAGAAAAATCCGGTGAAAGCGCGCCTCTATTTTCCTCTGAAAATTCTCCGCCTCATAAAAGCAGGTGTAACTTAGGAAGCGGGTTTCATGGCATATGCCTCCAGGCAGTGTTGTAGTCGAGACCACCTCACTCGAGTCCGAGTCGACACCGAGACCAGAGGGAGTCGAGTTCGAGTCAAGACCGAGTCCATAGAGAGTCGAGTCCGAGACCAGAGACGGTCGAGTCCGAGTCGAGACCGAGACCAGTGAGGGTTGATTACCTAATTCACTTTTATTTACTTGGAGAAATCCTTTTTTTTTTTTTCCTGAATTTACTTAGAGTTTAAAAAATATGATCAGTTTAGGGTAAAAAGGCCACATAGTAGGTGGTGTTAAAAGTAATTTTTTTACAATTTGTCATGCGCAGTTGCGGACTAGAAAATCACCAATCACTGGGCGTGTCAATCAATTTAAAGAAATATTTTATTCACATACATTAATAATCATGAAAAATATATTTAATTGAACTCGCTTGGACTCGGGAATAAGTCCGAGTCCTAAAAAAAAAAATGTTCAAGTACGAGTCAATTCCGAGTCCAAATGGACACAAGTCCATGACAAGACCAAGACCATTAAAATATGGTCTCGAGACCGAGTCGAGTCAAAGGCTAAAGAGACGAGCAGTAAAGATTTTTCCCACAAGAATCGTACTTTTTCAGTTGAGTAAAAACAAAATCATTAAGTTTAACAGATTAAGCAGCTATGAATTATTACAGTTACTGAAAAAAAAAATCAAAGATAACATTGAATCTCTGACTCAGCGCTCACATTCCATTCCAGCAGTTGTTAAACTTCTCTCTACATTACAATTATTTGCATCAGGATAATTTCAAACAGTCATAGCATCAGCAGTGAGAGGAGGTGGCACATTCAATTGCGCGTTTAAATACGTGCAATTTACGGTATAGTGGGTGGGGACAGGCGCTGATTACCTGATGAACTGGAAGTTTTGGTACATAACATGCACACTGCGGTTTCACATCAATCGCTTACTGCGTCTTGGCCATGGCGCTATTAACGCTGCGTTCACAAATGTTCATACATCTGGCCCTGAGAGTGTGTGCGAGGGAGGGGCTCTTTGCTCGTTCTCTACCTCAGTTAACATGCGCAGCAGTCATCTACACCAAATGACTTTGGCGGGACAAAAAATTGTTTTGGCGGACAGAAAAAATATTTCAATGCAGGAAATCCCTGTATATACCTACATCTCTACTGGGCCAGTAGACAAAATCCTTAGCATTAAGCCCTGCTATATTAAAGGCACCTACGGACAACTAAATGTGACATTATAAAGGGGATTATATGAAGATTGTTGCTTAAATCAAAAGTTATTTAAAATAAACCGTCTTTATGTTGTTTCAACAATAATTTGCATATTTAACGTGAAATTATTAAAACAAATATGTAATGGTAGGTGAAATTAAAGGAAAATGTGCATTAACTCTTTGACTTGCCTGTTTCACGTTTATGCTGCGTTTATCAATGAAAGTAGACATTTTTCTATCTTTCCTGCTGGGCCCTTTCTTCTGTGTCTTGGGTTGCACCATGGGTTGTTTCCCTTTATCACGTTGCCTGAGGAAAAGTGCGAGGGTCATTGTACGTAATAGACTTTTCATGATTAATTAAACAGTACTTGTTTCAATTTCACATATGCAGTGAGTTGTACCTGATCTTTGGGCCTCTATGTGAAGGCATATGCAGAACCTTCTGCCGTTTTTTGCCATCCTTTGTTTGTACGTGCTCCACCTCTGGTTTGGTCATAAACCCAGAGTACTGGCTTTCTTGTGCCTTCCCCTGTTTATCAACATTAGCTGCATTTCCTTTCCGCAAGGGACCTTTCATCTTTCCCGAAGGATGCTGTGGCTGCCCTTTTGTTTGGCTCCTGTCTTGTTTGGGTATCTTCAATGGAAAAAAAAAAGCACATACATTTTATTACATTTATTTTGTTTATTTAGGAAATTCTTTCATTAAGATGCAACCAAGCCTCACCTTGCTGTTTTTCAGACGAAGGGCTTTAAGTTTAAGCTTCTTGCCATCCTCCAGAGAGAACTCCACAATGGGCCTCTGATGGGAATGACACAGAAAAATATATTCACACTTCAACATCTGTCTTGCTCAATCTTCAGTTATTGCTCAATGCTAAAGCTTTATCCAATTTATATAAAGTGAAAATGCCACGGAGTCTAGGCCACAAGCGTGAGTGAACAGAACGATTCATCTTATTTTTGAGAAGTTACATTCAATACAGACAAACACATTCCACTGAGCATCGGAGGAATGCGTGTTAATATGACGTGTGGAAAGATTGACAGACAGACACATGGTTTGATTTGTTTTTGAGTGCGTTCCTTTTGTCCTCCTTTGCAAAACACTAAAGGTCCACTGCTGTGAACCTGGCACTGAAGCCCTTAACAGGCCCTCAAAATGTGTTTACACACCAGCAAGCTATAGCTAACATCATCTAACATTGTCCCAAAATACATAGCTGAAATACTTTTAGGAATTGTGGACTACTCTACTTCTCTTTCTAGGAACATTTTAACTTGATAGAACAACAAACAGGTTATCAAATTTCCCGTTTTTCTTCCAAAGCTCCCAGGAACCTGAAATCAGGCTTTTTGTTGGTATTTGAATGTGATGGTCTACCTTTTGAGGTCCAAAGATGTCTGGGTTGTTGTTGAGGTGACGTAGGGCTTGTAAAGCCTGTTCATGTTCTATAAACTCCACAAAGCCGTATCCTAGAGATTTACCCATCACCTGACCCCGAATAGGCTTCTTATCATACATCACACGACACTGTAGGCACATATATACAGAGAAAGAGACAATAAGGAACATGAATTTGTTATTTGAAAAAGTTATGCAATAATTAAACCTATATCTTCCTTCTACAGAACACAAAAAAAATGTATATTTTGAAGAATATGGGTAACCAAAACGTTGATGGGCCTCATTGACTTCCATAGTATGGAAAAAAAAAATATATATACCATGGAAGTCAATGGGGCCCATAAACTATTTGGTTACCGACATTCTTTAAAATATCTTCTTTGGTGTTCACCAAAAATCATATAGGTTTGGAAGAACTTGAGGTTAGATAAATGTTGACAAATGTTTCATTTATGGGGGAACTACCCCTTTAACCATACAAGCTTTTCTCCAAACTCACATTTGCTTTTAATAATTTACCTACCATGTCTATATGCATGGTGAGAAGCAATTCGAAGAGACAAAATTAAAAAAGACAAATTTGTTAAAGGTTTTTAACATATATTTTACTGACATGCAAAATGATAGGCAGAGGGAGATATTCTATCTGGCTAAGCTTAGGGTTGTCACAGAGACTGGGTAATTTCAGTGATATCCGTCAGGTCGTTATGACATTTTGCGTGTGACATTCCTCAAAAAGTAAATAAACAGCCCCTTAAACCTATGCGCAATCAAGAGGTTGTAGGTTAGAAACCAGCAAAAGCTTCTCTAAGAACCACTGTGTCCAAAGACTTTTTAGGAGGACTGTTCCTTTTAAGTCAGCTATATGACTACTAACAAACTAGACAGTGAAACCTCCTGATCACACCCAAATAACATAGTCCTGCCCCCTAGTGTTACCAGGAAGAACTGTGAGATGATGTCTCATTTCAACATTGCTTATTATTTTGGTTTGCTGTTAGTTGGTTTATAACACTCAGTGTTAAAAAAAAAAAAAAAAAAAAAAAAAACTATTTTAAAGTGTGTGCATTACCTCAGTGATGCGAACGCCTTTACCACCAGCAGCGGAGAGGCAGAGCTTGCGAAATTTAGGCTGATTGACGCTCAAAGGCAGGTTATGGACACGCAGCCGTGTTTTAGACACATACACATGAACATCCCTTAACTTTGCCCTTTTCATCTCATCAAACTGAAAACACACAAACACACAACAACTATCGTTAATCAGAAAACATTAAATACTTTTTTGCCCCCTTTACACCTGGCATGATCATATGGCAGATACCTTTTTTTTTAATCTGCCACACTGATGGAAATCATCTTGAAATCAATGCTTTTATTATTTTTATTTTTGATTGACAGCAAAACTGTTAATGCTACGTAACATATGAAAGCACCATTTCCCATTTAGTGAGGGAAAGTGCAATCAGATGTCAAAAGAATAAAAACCAAAAAAAACTTATAATTACTGTTAATGCTAGAATTTGTTTTTTAACTCCTGAATATGGAGGAATGAGGGAAAAAACTGCTATATTGATTTGGATGTATTCAGCGGCATTGCTGTTGGCTATTGACTATTGAGAATTTTTTGGAAAGTGAAATAAAGCTGAAATAAAATCAAACACAAATTTAAGCTGAAATACTAAAATTACAAAACATAACATTAAAATAATCATTTATTGAAGCCTTTTTTTAGAAATACTTCGCACAAAAACTATTTATATATATATATATATATATATAAACAATTCTATGAACTCACTCTTTTTCTCTTGGCCATGTCACCTTCTGAAATTCCCTCTGCTGCCTTGGATCCAGGACGAATCACTAGATAAATTTCAAGAGGTAACAAGTTAATTCAAGTGCACATGTTAGTTTTAAACCACGTTAACACCTAGTATTAAAATACGTTATGGTTAATCGGATCAAAAGTAGATGAGGGAGACATTCCAGTTTAAACATGGTGTTTTAATGCAATATTTGTTGTCCACTTTCAACCACTTCTGTCCTGATATTTTTGAAGTGAGGGTTTACGAGCAGGTAAATGTTTGGGCCTTATCAGATCTTTCAATCTAATGGACAAAATAAGCTTGTCACGATTTATATAATATGGACGCAAAAGTAGACGACAGAAAAACCATACGGAGAGTAGCAGCTTTCGTTTCTACTCTGTTAGCAGCAAAACCAGTTAGAAACCAGAGAACATTGTGCTTGCTAGTGTTATTCATCTTCAAATCAAACTTGGGTCTCCAGCTGACAAAGTTTAAATCCTGTCTAGTTATTGCACTTCCCATAATCTTAAGGCCTTGTCCACACGGACACGAGTATTTTTATAACATAATTTTGTTTTATGCGGTTCGGCTGTGTAAATATATATATATATATATATATATATATATACATACACATATACGTATATATATATATATATATATATATATATATATACCAGGTGTAAACAGTATTGACGAACTAAAACAAAGCTCTAGTAGCCCTCAAACCGTTGTAACAGTGGTGGGTGGTTCCCTAATCTTAAATTATTTATTTTACAAAGAAAGTTCAGGCGCCAGACAGTTTTATAAAACTGACAAAACTTAAACAACCCGAGATAACAAAAAACCACTGATTACACACAAAAAAAGCAAATATTTCAAAAGAAGGTTTCAGTTTAACTGTAATTTATTCACTTTATAGCCCTTAATCCTGTAATTGTGGACAAATGTGGGCACAGAGGACTCAGGCGTGATCCTAATTTGTATTTATTATAAATGTTATATCACTGTCTTTGATAAAGTTTTTTCTATCCATTTATGTTTGTTTTTTTTTTTTTTTTTTTTTTTTTTTTTGGGGGGGGGGTTATTTTTGAATTTATTTACTCAAAAAGTACCATATTTTCTATGTAAATTATTTCCATGTAAATTAATTACTATGTAGTTTTATTTTTATTACTACATTAAAATATCATTCCAATAAGTTCTTAGAGCTAAAACCTAAAGATGAAGTGACTTTGCTCTCACCTGGTGTCTTATTTTGGCTCATTTTAGAATGCTCTAAATTACAGGTTTTTCCCATTCATTTCTATGGGTGCCCATTTATGACCCAAATACAAGATTAAGGAGTTTTTTTTTTTCACCCACTTAACATTGTAGAATTGAGTCAAAAAAATGTGTGTGTTCAGGAGGCAAACTTAGGAAAAGTAGCCAAGTCTTGCACCGCTCATATCAAAGTATTTTTTTTTTTAAATAAATCAAAACTATTTTTCCCACATTTGTCCAGAATACAGTTTTAGGGTTAATGGTTAGTTGACTGACAGCATTGTGTGACTGGCTTTACTTACAGCCCTCTCTGGCGAGGTAAAGATTCCTGGTGCCTGTGTGGGTTTTCACTTTCTTGTCCTTTAATTTTGCCGCATCTTCTCGGTTTACGGCTGGCAATATGTTTAATTTCCTGCCATCAACCCTAATGCCACCAAACTGAAATACACATATGCATCAGCACAACCCTCATATGTTTACTGGTATAATATATTGTAGATATAAGAACAGCAACTCTTACTAAAGCTGCAGAACAGTGAACTCACCTCTTTATCATCTTGAGCAGCAGCAATACATTTCTCTGCCGCTTCTTTACTTTTGTACTGAGCAAAAGCACAACCTAGAAAGACATGTAGAGAGACAGAATTACAATGAATAATGTACTTTAATTCCATACAGGCCAAGGTTTTGGTGATTGAAAATACCTTTTGAATGTCCAGTGTCTGAGTTCATCACCACACGTACGTATTTTAGCTCGCCAAACTGCAACAATACTTCCTCCAAACCCTCTTCCTCTGTGTCAAAGGACAGATTTCTGACAGAACCCAAAATAGATATGACAATGAAAAAATTCATTCCTGTTTAAACAATTGTTTACAGACAGCACTGCTTTGTAGTTTGATAAAAGAAAGTTCTGCTGTATAGTTGTTTTTCTTTTTAACTAGCGCTTTCTAATTTTTATGATTCTCACCTGATGAAGATGGTTCTTCCTTCAATCACATCTGAAGAAAGAGGGTCTCTCTTCTTCTTTGGAAGAGCTGTTGATAGAGATTTACAGAGAGTAAGAGTGTTGACGGACACATTTCATGCATGATATGACATACAGTGCACACGTTTCACACGATCTGTGTGTGGTGCGCAATGCATCCGCAGTGCACAACAGGTCCACGGCTATATACCACAAATTTAATTTATTCATTATTTTTATTTCTAATTCAAGCTTTTTTCAGGATTGTGAAAAACATTTGTTTACACACAACAGTTACACAATATTCATAGAAGCATTCACGTTTTAAATGCACAAAATTTAAACAATGTGTTCAATTCAATACATCTTTATAGATTTATATATTACGTTGTTTAAGTGGTAAAACGCTTTGTAAGTCACTTTGGATAAAAGCGTCTGCTAAATGAATAAATGTAAAACATTTAAAACAAATACGAACTATACATTGTTACATCCCAGTTCTTCTATGATAATATGAAAATTTGTAACAGAAATAACAATAATGTGTGGTTGAAAAGCGGTTTCATTCCTATTCCTGACAACTGCTCTTGTCACAGGCACAGACACAGGCAAATCGTTGTCTTTTAATAATTACTTGTGCAGCTCTAGTTATAAGATAGTATCAGAACACTTTAAATTGATACTTACAATTGACAAAAACAGCCAACTCTCATGCTTTTTCTTTTGTATTTAAATAATTATACAAGAAATCCTGTGGTTCATAGAAAAACGTTTCCATCTCCTCAAAGACACGAATGCCATCCATTATGCCGCCTTATTTATCTAAATGTGCGGTAAGGTGTACTTTTGCTTGCTTTCCTCAGGGTGAAAAGCCATTCACCCTGACTTTAGTTTATATTGCATTTAAGGTGAAATTACTTAATTTTCATGTCAATCCATGTTCATTTTGGCCACAAACAATGCATTGTTACAGCAAAAATAGACTTTGTGCAGAAACGATCACTGCACTGCTGCATATATACATGATCCTGGAACGCATTGCTGGGGCAGTGTGAATGCTCTAACCTGTTAAACATGGGCACATAAAAAAACTGGTATTGCATACAGATTGTGTGAAATGGGCCTGAATAAATGAATCATAGTCACCTTTCCCCTTATTGTCCTCTTCGTAATCACCGTCGGTGTCATCACCGTCGTCGTCGTCGTCGTCATCATCATCATCATCGTTGTCGTCGTCGTCATTATCATCGTCGTCGTCGTCGTCTTTAGGTTCTCTGGCATCACTATCTGTCTGCTGAGATTCATTTTCTGCATTGTCGTCATCCTCTGAAACGTCCTCTTCCTCTGACTCGGAGTCATCCTTCTCTTCCAGTGATACAGACCTTAACACGAGAGACCTCATTTTAAATTTAAGGAATTCACCTAAACACACTTCATTTCAGTTACATTTCCAGCACTTACTTTTTCTTGGCACATTCATTCCCATCAGTTCCTGCAATTTCGAAATCCTCATTCTCTTCTTTGATAGTACCTGCAAGATATCCAGATACACGTCGCTACAAAAATCCAGCCAGTAGATGCACTTTCAAACCTTTTTACGACCACGTAAATAAATAATAATACAGTGAAAATTACAAAAATTACCAGGCGCTAAAGCTGATTGGGTGGCGAGATATTTGTCCTTTGGAACTGCCCAATCCACAGCCACCTGTCTGTCTGAGGGACGAATAAGAATTTTTTTAGCACAGATTGTTTTGAAATTTCATTAATGTTGATATTACATTAATAATAATGTCATGGAAGAGTGCTGAAGCGTGTTCAGTGTTGAGAAAGATTCACCTTTGATCTCCTTCAGGTTCATCGCGGCAAGAGCTTTTCCAGCTTCTGACATGTTCTTAAACTGTACAAAAGCAAAACCTCGCTTCTTCCCATCTGCACAAACATGATGTCATAAAAACTAACCAAGGTGGAGGGCCGTATGAAAAAACATCATGTAAAGAGAATCTAAGAGATGTGTTTAAAGTCAGATGTTTCATCAGTTTTACCTGATTTTAAGGGAATCTTGGTCTCAAGCACAGTTCCAAACTTGGAGAAGATCTGCTTCAAATCATCTTCTTCACACTGCACATAAATCGCACAAGTGTAAGAGCAAATGTCAAAATTAAGTATATTTACTTTAAAGAACAGAATTTAGTCAACTTACCTTAAAACTGAGATTTCTGATGATCAGCCGAGCTTTCAATTTAGTTTTTTTTATGCCTGTAAACTTTTCAGGACTTTTGGTTTCAGCTGATTTCTCAGGTTTCTCTGTATCTTCTGAATCTGCATGAACAATTCAGAGTCATTTCTTCCAAACCAAAAACAATCCATGATAAATAAAATATGCATGAATATCTAACCTTCTTCTATTTTCACTTTCTTCTTCTTTTTCTTATCATCGGGTTTTCTCTTGGCTAGGGTAACAAATATATTCTGCTTCTCATATTCCTTGACTTCTTTTATTGCCCGTTGTGCATCTTCTTCCATAGAGAACGTCACATATCCAAAACCACGACATTTCTTAGTCTCTGTAAACAGAATGAACACAGCACACATACAAACCGTTCATACATCATATACAGGTCCTTCTCAAAAAATTAGCATATTGTGATAAAGTTCATTATTTTCCATAATGTAATGGTAAAAATTAAACTTTCATATATTTTAGATTCATTGCACACCAACTGAAATATTTCAGGTCTTTTATTGTTTTAATACTGATGATTTTGGCATGCAGCTCATGAAAACCCAAAATTCCTGTCTCAAAAAAATTGCATATCATGAAAAGGTTCTCTAAACGAGCTATTGACCTAATCATCTGAATCAACTAATTAACTCTAAACACCTGAAAAAGATTCCTGAGGCTTTTAAAAACTCCCAGCCTGTTTCATTACTCAAAACCGCAATCATGGGTAAGACTGCTGACATCATTGACACCCTCAAGCAAGAGGGTAAGACACAGAACGACATTTCTGAACAAATAGGCTGTTCCCAGAGTGCTGTATCAAGGCACTTCAGTGGGAAGTCTGTGGGAAGAAAAAAGTGTGGCAAAAAAACGCTGCACAACGAGAAGAGGTGACCGGACCCTGAGGAAGATTGTTGAGAAGGACTGATTCCAGACATTGGGGGACCTGCGGAAGCAGTGGACTGAGTCTGAAGTAGAAACATCCAGAGCCACCGTGCACAGGCGTGTGCAGGAAATGGGCTACAGGTGCCGCATTCCCCAGGTCAAGCTACTTTTGAACCAGAAATAGCTGCAGAACTGCCTGACCTGGGCTACAGAGAAGCAAAACTGGACTGTTGCTCAGTGGTTGCATGTCATCCGGAAATCATGCCTGAAGTCTAGCTTCAAGTACCCACAGTCAGTGATGGTCTGGGGTGCCATGTTAGCTGCTGGTGTTGGTCCACTGTGTTTTATCAAGGGCAGGGTCAATGCAGCTAGCTATCAGGAGATTTTGGAGCACTTCATGCTTCCACTGCTGAAAAGCTTTATGGAGATGAAGATTTCATTTTTCAGCATGACCTGGCTGGCACCTGCTCACAGTGCCAAAACCACTGGTAAATGGTTTACTGACCATGGTATTACTGTGCTCAATTGGCCTGCCAACTCTCCTGACCTGAACCGCATAGAGAATCTGTGGGATATTGTGAAGAGAAAGTTGAGAGACGCAAGATCCAACACTCTGGATGAGCTTAAGGCCGCTATCGAAGCATCCTGGGCCTCCATAACGCCAAGTTTAGCAGTGCCACAGGCTCATTGCCTACATGCCACGCCGCATTGATGCAGTCATTTCTGCAAAAGGATTCCTGACCAAGTATTGAGTGCATAACTGAACTTAATTATTTGAAGGTTTACTTTTTTTGTATTAAAAATACTTCTTTTATTGGTCGGATGAAATTTGCTAATTTTATGAGATAGGAATTTTGGGTTTTCATGAGATGTATGCCAAAATTATCAGTATTAAAACAATAAAAGACCTGCAATATTTCAGTTGGTGTGCAATGAATCTAAAATATATGAAAGTTTAATTTTTATCATTACATTATGGAAAATAATGAACTTTATCACAATATGTTTAACTTTATCACAATTTATCTCATTTTTTGAGAAGGACCTTTACATGCTGTTATACACATGATCTCAGCCAGCTGGAAAATATCAGGATTTAATTAGTAAAATCTTACCTCTATCACTGACAACGAAGCAGTTTTTCAGTGGTCCTATTTCAGAGAATACTGCTGACAGACGATCATTGGTGGCTGTTTCAGGTAATCTCCTGACAAATAAAGTAACTGCGGGCATTTTTACCACGAGTTCAGCTCGACTGTTCTTCACAGCCAGCAAACGTCTCTAAAAACAACAATGTTTATTACTGATTATGGCGAATATTGTTACATACAAGTTGCGATAATATTATAAGGTCGTTTAAATGACTCAAAACAGTGCAGTAGTAATAATGCACGTTTCTCACATGTTTCTGCTGTACAGGAAGTTGTCAAGAGCTGGAGATTCTTCGTTTGGTTTGGACGTCGTCAAGGTAGCACTGCGCGAAAAGGAACAATGTTGACTCCTGCTGGTCTGGAGGAGCATGTAGGGGTAGGTCTTTTCCATTTGTTTACTGTCTGTTGTTTTCCAAGCACTAATAGGCCACAAAATCACCATAACGTAGTCCAAGCGAGTCGTGTGCATATCATAGCTTTGTGTGAGGAACAAACCGTTACTCTCGATAATAGTCAGGGAAGGCAAGAACCGATCGACTCGAAAAGATCGACTTTCTTTCTTTTTTTATTAAATGGTAGTCACATTACAACTAACACATATGACAATAGTCCAACGTAAATTAAAATATTGAACTAATACTACAACAAATAAGAAAAGAAAATATACAGTATAATAAAATAACAAGTAAAAAAGAAAGATATTAATATAAAACAGAAATAATATAAACATTTTCATTGAGTCGGTTTTGCGTCATGTTTAAAGGTTGTTACTAGGCCCATTTATTGCGTAGTAGATTTGTCTTCATGGAAGAAACAAAATAGCCAATGTTGTTTGTAATGAACACAAGCTTTGCACAGCATAACAGAACTTTTTTAAAAAAAAAAAATTTTACGGTATGTATTTAATTGTGCTTTATTGTTTCTTTTAATAGCGATCTATAATGAGTGACAATTATTTATATATATATATAATTATATATATATTTAGCATATGTTTGTTGCTGATCAAAATGTGTTTTGTGTGTGTGTGTTTTTTGTTTTTTTCATTTGGTCAAATTATGAATAGTTTTTAAAAAACAAGGCAATGTTTAATGTGCACCTGCTGACGGTACTTTTACTTTAAAAATAAATAAATGTAGCCTATATTAGTTCTAATTTAATAATCAAATTAGTATTTAGTAATCAATAATAACTTTCCATCATTATGCATGCTAGAGTTTCTCAAAATGTCTGTCTTTTCTTGGTCACTAGAGGGCGACTTTATCCTGTAAAATATCCTGTAAAATCTTTCAATATCTTTTTGCCATTATTTTAAACAGTTTACAATGCATTAAACAATGCATTGTCTTTTACCAACCGTAATGGCAAAACAAATAATATATTTTTCATAATATATGTATTATATATACAAATGAATATATAATATAATATTTAATTTCATATTTTATATTTTACATAAAATTAAATACAATGTTATTTTTTTAAATAATTTTGCTATTAACTTTGTATTGCACAGATATAAACTTGAGAAGTTCAAATATGACATAATATTGACAAACTGACATAATATTCTATTTCTTTTACACCATGTCAGTGAAATCAGTGCTCTGAAGTAGAAATCTTGGTATTTTCTGCAAATCCAGTGCACAACATTGACGAATGTTTACAGGTGAGACCCAGTCGAAAAGTTTTGCTTACTATATTGTACTTTTATATAGGTCAAAAAAAAGTGAGACTGATTTTCAGAAGGGTTTGCTTTTGATCTGACAGACATGTTTTGTCCTCTCGTTCTCCTTTGTCACCCTGTCCTCTAATCCCGTCTGGTAAGTGTCTTAGCCCAAAGTGTGGGTTAATCTATCTCCGAAGGACAATTACCAAGATGTGTGTAGTGTGTTCATACAAAGACACGTAAGGATTGTATCATCTCTGAAATGGAGGTGACAAATGCGAGCGCATGACTCAGTGTGTGAATGATGGGGAGGGAGTGTGTCTTTTATCTGACCTTAGAGAACATAAGCAATAGAGAAGAGAGAGAATTCACCAGCAGAGCAAACATTCTACTGTCACAGGCAAAAGAGAATTAGAGAGAGAGAGAGAGAGAGAGAGAGAGAGAGAGAGACAACAGTGGCATAGCAGAAACTGGCTTCAGGCCCAGTTACACAAGCGCCCATGAGAAAGGATCTTACAGCACGGTATGTGATGAGTGTGTTTATGTGTTTTGTGCTGATACTTACCCTCTGTAAATTCAAATCGATAGTGTGCATTATTTATTTGAGATCCACAAATGATGCTTGAAGGGGAACAGTGAATGTTCTCATAACTTTGGCTAAGGTTTTGGCAAGATTCTCTCAAATTTGTAAAAAAACATTCATCCAGTAATGTTAGGACGTGTTGTATTTCATCAGATTCATATTTGCACTTGATAATGAGATCATAAATCAGGTTGTGATAAGAAAGACTAAATCAAGTCATCGTGGTGCAGGTGCTTGTGAGTTAGTATGGTAGAGAGTACCAATGGTCAACAGGCAAAAAAATGATTTTACATTTCACAACACAACCAGAATATGTTGCAGAAATATACTGGAAATGACAGATTTTGTTTAGTTAGCCTCAAAACAGCACTATAACGTTTTGTGTGATGCAAATTCAGATAAAATTGCAACATTTGTAAAACTTTTGTTGTTGTTGTTGTTGTTTAGGTTATAGAGAGCATACTGTACAGTTGGACAGAAACCTTTCGAACGCATGCTTGTTTGTCATGCACATTCAAAAAATATGACACAAATGTCTTCACTTTGTTTGAACATGGCTTAACCATTCAGAATTCGGTTGCGAGTTTGCACTAAGGACTCAGCCCACTGCTCACCCCTCCCTTTCGAAGAAGCTACGGTGGCTAAAATGGGACAAACATCGTCGTGAGACAGCAGAGAATATAGTCAGAGTAAGCCAAGAGTGTGTAACATTGTCACTGTTTCTGAACCACAGTCCATTATAAACCACATCATTGATACAGTTTACAAAGCCATAGTCAGGTGAGGATCAAGGGTCTTAATATATAATATAATAATAGTAATCAGCTGATTGTCTCACAAACGTAACCAGCACATTTCTCCCCATAGCAAACCCATAATAGCGAAGGAGAAGAACCACATGAAACTATGCAACTATATATTTTTTCTAACAAAAGTTTAGCTTTAGTTCATTCTAAGGTAATAACAACATGGTTTATTAAGTAAGTTCTTTATACACCACTGAAAAATAGTTATCAATGTCATACTGCATTTCTGTTAATAGATCCTCAACATTTTTAGACATCGCACCTTTAACAAAACGTCACGTGTAAGTCTTCATTAAATTAAATGTATTATATATTTTTTTTACAATTTATTTCTTATTGAATTCCTGACCATAATGTAAAATGATTCATAATAATATTCATAATAATATATAATTAATTGGCATAATAACAATGGATTATTTAAAAAAAAAATAGCCAAAAACTAACAAGAGAAATGTCTTACTTATAGTGATTTGTTTTAGAGTTAAATGGTTAATAAATGCATATTAGGCTATTGTGCAATACATTACAGCACTATGTTCTGTGAAAAATGAAGATATATAGATATATTGAATATTGTATTTAAGTCACCAAGTGAACTCTTAAATGTCAGACAATATAAGTTTGGGTAAGCATGTTTATGTGTAGATTCATTTGTTTTATATTCATGTGATAGCGAGTTGCATTTGATCAGAGCAGGACACACTGGTGTTGGCGCAGATTCGCTGTGTCCTGTAAATGGGTCATACACTCTCTCTCTCTCTCTCTCTCTCTCTCTCTCTCTCTCTCTAGTGGTGCTTTATAATAAGGCTGTAGGAGGGGAAGTTATGAGAGATATTTTTCTTGCACAGATTTGAATGACATGGACAGTTCATTGCAGAGCCAAACACAACAACGGATATCTATATATCTATCTATCTGAATGATATCTGAAACTTTAAGGCAGTGTTCCTGAATGATCCTGTCCGAGGACAGCAGAGCGGGACAGTAGGATATTGTATGAACCCACGCTGGCAGTTTTTTGAGTGGGAGAGTTCAGACTCATGTGATATGGGACTGATGAATAGGTTATAAATGATTCATTTTCACTGAGTGAATCAACCCACCAGTACAAACAGCAGAGCATTTTTATTGGTAGACAGAAACTTGCCTTAAAAGCTGCCTAGTTGATGCGTATCTGATCTGTTCCGATAATAACCATAGAAAACAGTGGATGAAGGAAGAACTTAGCCTACTGAAGCAATACAATATAACATATGTAGTCATTGTTTGCGCATCACATTTCAGAGGAATGTTGAATGCTAATGCTCTGAGCTAAAGAACAATCATGACTATACAGCATTGCATAATGAACACATTTGATCACTGGGACACATGCGTCAGTTGTTTACAGATCCATAAAATTAGCCATCAAACCATTTATTCCAAATAAAACCTTTAAGACATTCATAATTAGCCATTAATCTACGGGCATAGTCCCATAACGTCGTCATCATTGTTTATTATTGTATGGGCGTTCCCTGGGACAAAGACCATATGGAAGGTGCCAGCGAGGGGTATGAGACACTGGAAGGGGGGGAGGGGTGCTGTTTACACAGGCGTCTTATAGGTCACCCGACATAAATCTGCATGGTCATTATGTTGCATGTGCTGTGTGTGTTCAGATTCCTGTTTTGATTTGTCAACACAGACAGGATTGGACACTATAAGACTGCTTTTTCAGATTGTCTGTTGATGTGGACAATTCATATTTTATCCTCATCATACATAAACCAGACAGAAGTATTCTTTCCCTACAAGGTTTTTTTTTTTTTTTTTTTTTTTACGTCAGCACCCTTTCTCAACCACTTCTATTACCCTGCTTTAACCCCGTCTGTGGCCGTATCCTCTACAATCCAGAAGCATTAATCAATCCATGAGGCTGATTCCTTTGTCTGTCAGCTTCAGATGCCAATGCAAAGCCATACAGTCCACATGGACCCAATTCGAGGACTTTTTTTTGTTTGTTTTTGTTGTTGACTAGTGATTGACTGTGAATCACTGGCTTGGTTGTGATTCTGCGGCTAATGCCACTTATCCAGAGCTGTAGTAATGTAGCCTACTTGGGTTCAAAAGCAGCTTGGAGGAGCTTGATATAGAAACCAAAGTCATCTCTTATTACTTATCATGATAAATAAGGTAGCAGATGGGGGATATTATCATATTACAAGTCCATAATCAAGGGATTAAATTATAAACCTGATGAACTGTGGGCACGCTCAGATTTCAGCCTTGGATCG